AGGATCGCTTGAGCCCAGGAGTGTGAAGTTGCTGTGAGCTAGGCTGATGCCACGGCACTCTAGCCCAGGCAATACAGTGAGACTGTCTAAAAAAAAAAAAAAGTATCTTGAAGGAAAGAAAGGCTCACCATCCCCAAGGTCTGAAAAGAGTAGGTGCCCAACTGTCTTAACATTCTGCACACCCAAGCAGGTACTGGCAGATGAGGCTCACAACATATCACAGCTCACAGAGCTAAAAAGAATCAACTTTATTGAACATTCAAGGTTAGTTTCTCTTCTTGCCCTTGCCCGTGACCTTGGCTGGTGTGAGGACTGGAGCTGTTGCCTGGTACAGGGTGGAAGAGATCTTGTTGATGTAGTACAGACCAACCATAGAGAAGATGAAGCTGCAGGGTGAAGACAGAAAGGTCATGACATCACTGGGCATGGTGCCTCCTAGGGCAGACATTGACATGGGGGAAAGAACCCAGGCTCAGGTTTAGGAAAATGGGGAAGGGCAAAAGAGGGAAAACAGAGGGGAGGTAGGTGTTGGGGGGAAAGGTCTGACACCAACACAGTAGGATCCAGTGCCAAAAAAGAGGATGCTGCACCACTTACCCAGCTGTCGGGTACATACCAGGTGGTGACACAGACTCGGTGGATGAGGCCAGATGCAAAGAGAGCCAACAGGAGGCAGAGGAGAACTAAGGAGGCAAGAAGAGACAAGGAGCGTAGTTGTCAGAATGGAAATATCAGGCATTTGTATGTGGATTCTAGAAGAAACCTATGGCTCTCTGAATCTTGGGCAACCTGCTTGGAAGGGTAAGACAACAGCAGGAGGTGGCCTTAATGATAGCCTGGGACACGAAGGTAGGAGATGCATGCTTTTTACCAGCTCTGCCCCCAAGTGGCACTTAACTTCCTTATGATGACTTTCCTCCTGTAAAAAGGAAAAGGAAAAGTGATAGCACAGCCTGAAGGGCAAGGTTTGCTCCCATTTGGGGAAGAGGATTAAAGCCTTTCCAACAGAAGGCAGCCAATGAAAATCAATTTATTAAGCTGGCTGACAAGTGGTGGAAGTTGAGGGTCTCTCTCCCTAGACACAGGTTGGAGGGCACAGTGTCTGGATGTGCTTGTCAATGGAGGCAGGAAAGGATCTGAGGACATCTGGAATAGGATGGGAGAGATGGTGGGAGGGCAGGAAGCAAGGGCGAACAGGGCCCCACCTGCCCCATTGGGGAGGGCAAGGAAGGCAAAGAGGGCCCAGAACTTTGCTCCACAACAATGTTTTCTTTTACAAGCAAGTGAAGACCATACACATAGAAACAAAATCTAACAGAGAGAAGTCCTGAGGCTGCTGCTTGGAAGGAGTTCTGGAAGCCTACAACAGGGCTAGGTAGAGAGAGCAAGACCTAGACCGGGGCAAAGAAATGAGGGCAACAGGGATAGACCTTTGTTTTACCAGATGAAAGTTTCACATGAGATCACATCTGCTGTGAATTCTTGAGCATGTGGCATTCCTTAGGTGATCTGGCCTTGATGCCTAATTTATGAACTTAATTTTCCATAAATAACTAAATCATCAATTCTTGCTTAAATAAACAATTAACAAAGATTATTCTTTTTTTTTTTTT